TAAAGGTTTCTGGAAATTCAATGTATCTCTTTTGAAGGACAAACAATATGCCAGTCTGTTAAAAAAAATATGACGAAACTATTTTGAGTATAAAATCGACACCCCAGCTGTTTTGCGAGACTTTAAAAATGAAAATTCGCGGTGCCATAATTTCTTATTCGGTACAGAAAATCAAAAAACGTCGTAATGAGACAAATATTTTAGAAATGAATATTGAAAATTTAGAAAAAGAGTATAGGTTAGCCCCGTCTGATTTTCTGATGAATGAGCTGGAGAAAAGTAAACGTAGATTAGCTGAGATCAGAGAAAAGTATATGGAGGGAGCGAGAATTCGTTCTCGTTCCCGCCGGAGTCGGCGGAAGGTGAAAAACCGTCTAAGTACTTCTGCTCCATGGAAAAACGAAATTATGTAAATAAAACAATAGGCAAATTAAATATCAATGGTTCAGTTATTACCAATATGAATACAATTTTAGACGAACAGAAACAGTTTTATGCTAATCTATACAGCGTGCCTTTAAGTCAGTCCAATATGGAGCAACGGTCATTTGACTGTTTTCTATCTCCTGACAGCACTCAGCCAAAGCTTACTAATACCCAACGTTTAACCATGGGAGGGTTACTGACAATGACCGAATGTACAACTGTGCTTAAAAATATGGAAAATAATAAAAGTCCGGGGATGGACGGTTTTAGTGTCGAGTTTTATAAGTTTTTTTGATCTGACATTAGGCATTTTGTTTTAAATTTTTTAAACGAAGCATATACTTCGGGGTCACTGTCGGAAACACAGGGCCGTGGTATAATTACATGTATCCCAAAATCTGATAAAAAATGGCGCCCTATCTCACTGTTAAATACGGAATATAAATTTGCATCAGGTGTTTTGTCAGGTAGAATGAGGAAAGTGTTGCCTAGTATTATTCATAGTGATCAAAAGGGTTTTCTAAAAGGACGGAATATTGGTAAAAATGCGCGTTTAGTTTATGATGTATTGCGTGGGTCCATTGTAAAAGACATTCCGGGCATGCTTGTTCTGCTTGATTTTACAAAATAGTTTGATACTCTTTCTTGGAATTTTATTGACAAAACGCTAGATTTTCTAAACTTTGGGGAACCATTCAGAAAGTGGGTTGAAATCTTTTATTCCAGTGCCTCAAGTTGCGTAATTAACAATGGTAATTTTTCTGATTTTTTTCAATTACACAGGGGGGTGCGACAGGGTGACCCTCTATCTCCATACCTTTTTATTCTTTGTGTTGAGACGCAACTATACTTTTGCATGTTTTACATACATCTTATTTGTATTTTGTATCGCCACATACTTTCGCGATTACCAAAGCTGTTAAAACGGCCAATAAATAAATAAGATAGAAGTATATCATGGAAAATAAATAGTTAAAATCTTTTTAATCAAATTGCACAATCCTACGGACATTTGTAATTTCACTAACTCAATCAAATACGGATAACTATTGTTGAGCATGATTGGAATCCAGATAAAACATACTACAGTAATATTTATCATAAGATAAAATATGTTGGCTGCAAAATTAGTAGGATTCGATTCGGTGAAATGACAAAAATGTTAGTTTTAGTCATTTACCTGCAGTGTACGTATAGGTAAATAGCGGTGGTACACTCGAGGATAGAAATTCATCATGGACACCATGACGGCGATTGTCTCGATTCCCCTCGTCTCACGGGAATCCCTTGACGCCGTTCAGAATAATCAAATACTTTTCTCCACAATTCCAATGAATCTAAGGCATTTTATTCAAGTTTTTGAGCCCTGAATACGATTGTAGACACTGTGGAAATGACATAGACATCATAATGGGGACAATCACTCCTGTGATGTAAAAACATATGAATACCGGTAAATTAATAAATGGTAAATATAGGCATGGGGATAATGGTATAGGTACCCTTGGGCTAATTTTGTATTATTGGAAGTTAGAAAAACGCTTCTATATGAGTGAGTCACAGTTAAAAAAAAGCTAAACCTCATCTTTATCTTTTCTTATGCACTAGATGTGTAAATTAGGCAATCCCAACACGAATTCGAGAAAAATATGAGGATATATCTCCTACGAATATTAAAGACTAGGTTAATAATTACTCTGATGGTCATTAGAACTGAATCTTGATCGAACTTATTTATTATTATTTTAAAGTATGAGACAGTCGATGTTATTGGCCAAAAGCGGTCATTTGAATGCGTTTCTCTACTGATGGCAATTTGGATTTCAACTTGGAGAGTGTGTGTTTTGACTCATTGTTTTACCTAAATTGCTGTTCTATTGTTTTTTTCCCGGGATAATAGAACAGTTATTGTCCTTGTCTTCTGTTAATATCCAGAATTAATGTTCCAAAATGGCTGCTATTGGCCTTAGCCTTCGACCAATAGCAGTGACTTGGGGACGACTCGGATAATTCTTCATATCGGCCTCGGCAAAGCCATATAATGTATATTATCAAGCCATCATGTGACCACTTTTGACCATAACATTGACTGTCGAGAGATAATGAATAGTTTCTTGAGATTACAAGTTAGACGATACAATATGGGAAAGGCGCGACAATGTCATATAAATCATTATCGGATAATTATCGTCTAATAAAATCTAATGAAATTCTGGCAGAGATGTCTAACTTAGACATTTTAGACGACATTATCGATAATATTGGAGAAAAACGAACTCTCCCAATAATTGCCCAGACAGACCTGTCTAACTTAGACATTTTTAGACATTGTTAGACGATTCTCATAGACGGACCGGAACAGGAAGTCAGTAGAAGACAAGAGATTGTTTCGTTAGCTATGGGGGAAATCTGTTTAGCTTGGGGGAAAACAGAGGTGTTAATCCGAAAATTCATTGTCTTTTCCTGTTTGTGATTGGTCCTGGCAACGTTTGGGGGATCGTGACGTAGCTCCGACTGTGAGAATATTATCGATAATATCGGAGAAAAACGAACTGTCCCAATAGTTGCCCAGGCAGACCTGTCTAACTTAGACACTTTAGACATTGTTAGACGATATTATCGATAATATCGGAGAAAAACGAACTGTCCCAATAGTTGCCCAGACAGACCTGTCTAACTTAGACATTTTTAGACGATAATATCGGATAACGTTAAAAAGTGCAATGTCGCGCCTTCATGGGTACGAGGTGCGACAATTGCAGTGGACAGACAGAATAAACTCTCAGACCACTAAACGAAGTTTCCACTGGTCACGGTTACTAAAACCGCGCACTGGTTTACGGCAATTAGACACTGATTACGGTTTGACATAAACACGATAATTTATTTATTCACGTCACTGTAAAAGAGTTATCGGGATTATGAAAGTTACAGCCACATATCAATATGTCAAACAATTCCACAGTCAGAATTCACTTATGGTGATTGACGGCGGTTAGCTAGCCCCTTTTACAGAACCGTTACCAGCAATAAATGTTATGTATCCTTAGTAACTAGTTTTATTAGTTGCATGCCAGCTGTGCATTAGTAGGAAGTGTCTGTCCATAGATTGCTATCTTGACTTCGGTATCTAGGGAAATCATTTGAATTTCAATTTCAAGGACATTCTTGGAAGTTGGCTGGCGATATCATCTGGACAGCGTCCAACCAAGGACTTGACGTCAGCCTCAATGATTCTGGTGGTGTTGTGAGACTCATTGGGTGGATGGAAATTCTGCTCATCGTGTCTGAGTATTTACTGTATGAATATAAATATAAGTTATAAATATTATTTTTTGACGTAAATATGACGGACTTTCACTGCTGTTTAATCAGGATACATTATGTTGATTCGGTAGATCCACGTCCAAGGGAAACACCCGGATAAAATCGTCAGGAAACCAGTCAGTGTTCATATCCAAATTAGGATCTATAAACAAACAAAACGAAATTTATATGTAATTCATATTTTATGTAAGCATACACAACAATGCCTTACACAATGGTTTAGTAACCGTGCTTAATAACCGATCCGATCCGTAACCGATCCGTTGCTGTCATGGTCAGTGGGCAATGAAGCATTATTGTACAGTTTGTAGCTCTATCGTGTGACCATGGAGAACTCTGCATTAATACGAGCTCGGTACCAAAATCTACGACCGGGGCGAACCCGGCACCAAAACGAACTCGGCACCGGAGATCCCGGCACCACAAGTATATAATAAATAATAAAAGTTTATAACAGTAACTAATATAAGTGTTGTTCGACGACTGCTCTTTTGTGCACCACCAACCCATCTTTTGGGAAATCCATCATGTACTGCTGAATCGTGGCACTTTGTTTTCGTGTTCATAATAAATTAACCAAGTCATAGGAGAGAAAAAAAGTTATAGGGTGACAGTGATGTGACAGTGATTTAAACACAACATAGATATTATATATGCGTACATAATATAGAGCTTCCTTTATTTTATATTTGTTGTATTGTCTAGTAGCACTATTAGATGTAAAACTTCATTGCTTACGTGTGTTTACATCGGTTACGAAATGTGAACCGATAAAAATATACGACAATACTTCCATGCAATGTCCTAACTGTTACAAACATAATGTCGTTGACATGTTAAATTTTCTCCCCGGGAATTTCAATTCGATGTTTTTTGTTGTCCTACAGGCGGTAACCGTGCGTGGTGTGTACCTTGTGCCGGTCACTGTAGTGCAGCCGTCTTACGTCTTATCGTGTATCTTTGGAACTACTAGTAATTAGAACGTTCGTATTCTCTAATTGAATTTATTGGGACTAATAAAAGACACCAGACGGCTGTTCCATGATTGTATATTTTATATCTGGTGTCAAAATCACCCCATCTAAAAACTCCACTATTGTGGTAATAAATATTTACCTTTGGCAATCTCCTGTCCATGGTTGGGAAACAGATTTACATATCCATTCGTTACACAGTTGTCAAAAGCTTCAGATTCTGGTAAAAACGGCTCAAACCACTCCTCAATCGTGTCAAATTCATAAGAACTGGACATGTCAGAGTCCACTGTTGACATTTCCTCGTCGGATACGGTTACTATGAACTGTGTATCTGGCGACTTTTCAGCAAAATCTAAATCATCGCACGGAGACAACAGGGAATCTAACCATATATTCATCTCTGTAACATCTTTCAAGGATGTATATACTAGCTCGCTGTCGACTTCCATATTCTCGAAGAAGGCAGCCTGATCAAATTGAACACACTGCGCGGCAGCACAACTTCGGGGTATCTGACATTTGTGAATAATCTATTCTTGTGCGAATGGGTATTGTAGCAGGGTCTACCAAGCAGACTTCACTGCCAAGTGTGAAACCACATACCCTCGTGTTGCGTGTATTTGTAAACACGTGCGATATACATAAATTATCATCCAAATGTAATGAAACCATGGGTCTGTGATTAAACCCAGATGAGTAAACACTTATATCTCGAGGGTAAACTGGAATAAACAGCCGGTTACAACGCCTGGTAGTCTAATAGAAGCACTTATAAGGTTTTACTAGTGAAAAAAACACATTACTGACAGAGCAAAGGCAAAAGTATGTTATAAACAGTCATCTTTTTTTAGCTCCATATACGATATGGCGTCATGCCACGCTTAGAAATATATCGTCTTTGGAATTAAGCAAACATGGTTGGAAAATTGTTAGAACATTTGAGCGTGGAAGTATAATTGGGAAGGTAATTGGTTGTATGTTATCACCTATGGCATTACGATCACGTGATTATGTAATATCTGACGTAATAGTATAGGACCTGGGCGTACGTACATATTGCAGAGAACACACCTACCTTGTTGCTAGTATGTGACCATAGTCTTTATAGAGGGACTGTGGTCAAGCCAGTCAAATTGGAATTTAGGCAAAAACTAGTAGGTATTTATAATTTGCCATGTGCAGTAGCCTATGTTATTCTCTGTGAAAAGTGTGGTTTTATTTGCGTTACTGTAGGATTGTGAATACCTAGCTAACACATGGTTTTGAGTTACAAGTTTTCCCGAACTGAGCGCATCTACGGTAAACATACCCACATTTATTGTCTCTCCCATTGCGCCCCGATCAGTCCATGTTTAGCCTCAGACCACCAGTCTTAGTGTTAACCACCCTGAATTTACATATCTTCAGTCGGTTCCACATGTGTCCTTGTCATGCATATTCAGGCATTTCGACACACTTTGACAGATACGTATAGTGTTACCACGCTACTAAATTGTTTTCCTGAATAAACGAGCAATAAATTCCCAAAATGTCAACATATTTGTTAAAATATGTTTCCTGTACCGTCCTACGACATCACCTTGGCGCCGATTACATGATTTGCCGCCTGAATGACCGGACATTGACAACGGAGTGATGTAGACGATGCACCAATCGCACTGCTTGTTTTTAATCCATCTTTGACTCAAACGTGAGCGGCCCGTATTTTACCCGGATCCGAGCTGTACATTTTTCTTTACAGTTTATATATGCCGACCCAACGGTATTTATACTAGTAACTACATGTTCGTGTTCTAGCAAACATACATGCATATTATTTACATAGATCTGTACGGATACATATTTACACATTTGCGTGCTGGGCTTGAATGGAGTGTATGCATACAGATATCATGTCACATCACATGATGGTGAACCCATGTTTTCGGGCGTGCCGTCCACAAATACTATTATGCGTATGTTTTACGTCGTATAGGTATTCCGCGTACAAATTCCTATTATTGACTCGTTTCCGGAGAAAGACCCACCGAAAACATTTCGGTTTCATTTCGTGAACATTTCAAATTGTTGCCGATTTGTTAACCATAATTTGTGATTCCAAATACAGTCCCTTACACACTGTATTCTGAATTACGTCGTTTTATGGCAAAGCGCCAACAGAACTCGACGAAGATTTTGCAAGATAAGTTTTCAACATTTTGTGAGAGGGCGTGGTTATAATTGGCCAGACAGACGTTCACATTCAGTTTGGGTCGAGCTTGTTCGCGGAGACTACATGTCAATGTTACCCATGCGGAAAAGTGGTGACATTGATTGGACGAGTTTGTGTGAGCCCTGGACCATTTTCCGTCAATCAAAAACCAATGATAGGGAACATACACGAAATACATGTACAAGAACACACAGTAAATGATTTCTCAAACACAACTCGTGAACGAATTTAATAGATTAATTTAAAATAAAACTCTATAAATAGTATAATAAACATCTGAAGAAAAGTAGTCGAAGTATTAACAAAGTTATTGAAAAGTATAACAAAAGTTTTTTAAAAAAGATATAACAAAACTTAAAACGTAAACTACTAATATGTAAATAGGGTTAAAAGTAAGATATAGTATTAATTGCATTAATGTTTATAACTAAAACTCGTATATTATCTTAAGAAAGAAGTGAGTAAACAAGTTTGAAAAAAAATAGAATGTGAAAAATTAAAACGTGGGGAAACGATGTACATATAAACGATGTACACAATAATACTGAAGAAATGAAGGGTGCCGGGTCACGTGGCACAATGTCTATAGCAACACGAAATGTTGAACTAGCTGCTTCTTCTTGGAGCACCGAAGGCCTCGACACTGGGTATACAGGGGTCGTGGCGTAGAGATAACCCTTGTCGAGCTCTGCGCATCACGCAACGACGATCAAAAAACCACGTCTGTCGTAAAAATATATAAATATATGAGTTAGTGCATGCATTTTTGGAGATATAACACCCCATATACTGAATATTCGATGTATATTAGTTACATACATGACGAAAGCGATTCAAAATCAAACTTAGTGGACACGCCCACTAGTGCTGGCATGCCTTCGTTCTATCGTGGAGGCCGCGCATCACTTACAAGAAGAAATATACAACTGAAATATTCACTGCCCAAGTTGTTTGTTGTGTGAAAATAACAATAATCATATGTTTATGTTTGCTCCATTGTACGGTACAACAATTTTTAGTTTCGACATTATTTCATGTACTTCATGGTTTAGAGCTAGATTTTGTTAAGGATAATGTTGCTGTAAAAATTGATTGAGTGTTTTTTATAAACATAATATCAGTTATTTTTTGTTCATTTTTTTCAACGGTAAACTCCTAGTGACATGTCAGGAGACAGAGCTCGCTCTCATCGCGAACTTATCATGGTGTGATTGAAACAAAGATTTAATATTGAGCGTCGTGTCTCATTATTTTATGCCAATGGAAATAAAAGGCATAATTTCTTGAAATACATATATTTCGAATATTCAACACAAATGTATCGTTGTTTACTTACGTTTACGGTGGAGAATGTCATACCGAGACTATTTGCTAATTCTCGCATCCTTTTCGTACTGGGATTTGGTGACTGGCGGAACTCCTTTAATAGTTCGTCTTGTTGCCTACGAGATACTGAACGATGCAAACCATCGCGTAACCATTGAGGACGAGCCCTGGAAGAATACAATGAGTGCACGTGGACGTCGCCCGATATACGGATCGACCCGAGTAAAGGCATTTCTCTTAGCTCGACGTCCGCGTCGTCACGATAGTCTTCGCTGGACATTGAGAATGCGTCTGAGGCATCGTGAGAGGAATCTGTAATATAGAGAAAGGTAATGATCATACTGTTCAAACAATGTATTCATTACTAGTATTTATTTTATTTACAGACATTTTTATCCAGAAATAAACCTTTTAAAATTATATTCAGTTATTATGAATTGAATCAAGATGTACATGTAAACAAGATAGTCATATACCCGTTGTGCATTTAATATATTAACGTTAGACATGAACTCGTATCGAATATAATTTATACTCGGGCCGGAACGTCCAAACCAGGGCCGGATCTTCTTTTTATCGAGTGAACTCGAGTAATAACAAATGATAATAAAATAACACTATAAAATTTCCTTATACGAACTATATAAAATACTACAAACAGCATGTTTAGTAATTCCGTGTATTTATTAGTATTGTGAAATTCCGATTCTGTGTAGGCATGTACATAGATGTGGCATGGAGGCAATTTTACCTCCATGGATGTGGTGATGTAGATCAGTGTCGTGGTGGAGATATGCTCAAACGCTTGTTGGCTACTAGGAAATTTCGTAAAACGTCGAGGGCGAAATAGCTATATAACGTAAGAATAAATTTGACGCCGTGAAGATATGATTTGAATATATTTGCAAAAATTAAAATTTACATAGCCACTCAGAACAAATCAAAGACTCACCAGCGCCGAAACTGTAGTTCAAATTAGATCCCAAATCGTACTGACAAGAACTTACATCTGCAATAAAAAACAACAAATTAATCGACGCATTAGTATGTTATAATCGAATTGCAATGTTGCCTGATCACGAAGACAACGCAGTCATCAACATATATTTAGAAAAATATGTCTTCTAACTACTAGTACTCTTTAACATATCGAATACCTACCATCGTCTGTAGTGCAGTCTAAGTCAGAGTTACACGTCGACTGTCCGGAACTTTCGTCTTCTGAAGATGATGACAGGTATGCATCGAACCAATCGTCAATAGAGTTGAACTCATATGGCGGAGTCGCGGCGGAAGATACAGGTGATGAAATGGCAGCCGGCGCATCTTCTTCATCAGGAGGGAAATATGACCACGTATCTAACCAGTCTATGTTGATAGTGGAGAAATCCGTGGTGGCCATCGTAAATTGCAATTCATGGGCGAGAGATGTGCCATCGACGAAGACAAATTCAATCGGTGTTGGTAGTAATTCTGTGATCTGGGTATCCATTTGAGTTGATGTAGTAGTGTGGTCGGAATATGATATAATAAAACAGAACTGATTCTGACGAGTGTACCTTGATGGGCAAGTGACGTGATTAAATAGGCATGGAACAATGACATTTGCATATCCAATAACCACCAGTTAGCAAGTTATTACTGTAAGACAATGTATGTTTATTTTGTCGGGGAATCCGTCCACGCCGTCGAGCCAGACACACTGGCGCCAAGCTAATTAACGTTATATACGACATATTCCGTCAATTTCGTCACGGAAAAAACTACATACATATTATAACATTGTACTACATTGGTCGATGCTTAATAACTTATAGGAATGGCAAATTTAGCTGAGTTACAGGCCCGTGGGAACGTACGAACATGGCACGCTGATCACCAGATCTATACCAATAAACAGTTTGACGTCATCATAATCTGTATATCTGTCGAAATGACTTTATAACTTTCTCTTTTCCCACGACACAGTGGCGTCGCCTAGCTTGGCCGTCTCGCTGTACACCACATCTAGTCATGGTATATCTAAAAAAACGTCGATGAATAAAACGAGAAAAAAAACGGTAACCGGGAGCAAAACTATCTTGCTGAAAATGAAATATTGAGAAACACACTCGTGTGGTGGCGCACATCGGCTGATGCGCCCTCCATCGATACATGTTGTCGTATCCCACGCATGATGGCATTTGCCTGGAATCCGGTCCATACTCCACGGCGTCCTACAAACAACTTCTGTTCAATGAAGTTATCAGTGAAACAACTTGTTTCTGTTTGTTTGATTTGTTAAAATGAGAAACCGGAATGACAACTGAAGATTGGTACAAACGGAAATAACATATTTCATGTGTGAATTGACAGCCATTCACACCTTCGCTGGTAATTCCAGTGTCTACAACACCTTCACCGTGAGAAAGATCAGAACAAAAGATGTTCACCAGACCGGGGAAGAGGAGTGGGTATCCATCAAACGCATTCCTTCAGATTATCGTGATCACGTGGTGTGGTCTTATAATTTAGTTATTTTATTCTTATTTCATTTCACACCTACAAGGTTGTCAATCATTTAACGTATTCAGAAATGGGGATGATATTATTGTTCCAGACATATTTTTTACCAAGTATGACAGGGAAAGTGATGTACATGTACATTTATCGTCAATTTTAATACCAGGCCACTAACAGGTACAGTCCGAAATTTTACGAAAATATATCGCAAGTGGGGTATGGACAAAATCAGGGGAACCCGATAAAATGAATGGAGAGTTATCATTTGTTTATCAAACAATTATATTTCACATCATATCAGGTGAATCGTCTGTACTACAATTTGCCAATCCTGCAAACTTCGTAGAAGAGAAATATACGTACAATATAGGAATACAAATACATTGGAATGTAAGGCTCCAAACCACTGTAGTTTGCATCACCGTGGTTACTACTTACGGCGATGCCGTGTCACTGATTTGACATCGGAAATGAACTATGTTTTCCAGGAGGTGGGCGGAAATGTCGTTTACCCGGAGGTTTCGGTCACGGAAGTTTCGGTTACGCACTTGTTTGGTATATTATCGATCGAGTTCTTGAAGTTAGATTTATATTTACTAAAGTATTTACTTTTAACTCGTCCCTAGTACGGCGTAATAATACTTACCAACATTGAGGTACAAAAAAGTCTTTTACCTCCATGGTTACAAGCTTGCAACGGACAAGTAATTAGTAAATAAATAAACAAAAACACGCTTACTTATACCGTACGGTATACTAGTATTGGTAAATAAATAAGAATTTGTCGTACTGCAACGTACGGGATGAAAGTGAATAAATATACATTCGAACAAATAAATAACCGTATATTGAATGGGGGTGTAAATATTATGTCAAATTAAAGTACCGGTAAATATGTTCTGCGCGCGTGATTCGAACCATTACCTCCATGTTCGAACCGACGCTCAAGCACGGCCCTAATCGCATAGTTTTCTTTGATTTGGCCACAGTCCCTAGATAGAGGGACTGTGATTTGGCACAGTATTTACCCTTCCCTTTAGATGATGTTATTTACTTGCTTCACTTATATTATGAGCAGAAGCTACCATGAGCTTAGGTGATCTTCCGTTTAGGCGCGGACCGAACGTTTGCGTCAGAAATTGGTCAGCAGTCAAGTAGTCAGATGAACCACAGTCTCTCTTCGTGGAAACAAGGACAATAGAGAGAAAGTCCTCCCTTTATTGTCTTTGGATGAAGAAGGGAAACCACATTATAATGATTTCAAACTGAGTTTATTACAAATTCATAGAAATGGCCTTCAAAACAATATTTTACGACATTATAATAACATAACATCCACCAACTGTCCAATATCGGTGATTATATATTTGGCTTTCTGCTCAGTGCCATGGCAACCGGGGTAATAAACACACTGTAAAACATTCGTCGCAGTTACGGGTAGGAAGAATCCCAGGAACAAAACTACAAGTCTACGCACCATCGCAGACCACTAAAAAAAAATGTTTTTGATGTACATTTTCTTATGATGACGATTGTCTGCATTTCTTTAAAAAAGTGGCAAGATATATTCTAAACAAATAATCTATATTACACTTGAGTCGTCGGTAGGAACATTCTTGTAAAGTTCGCTCATATTTTGAAAGTCGAAAAGCACACTTGACTTTATCAAGTATTGCATTCTCCAACATAATTACGCGAATTTGACATACCAGTAAATTGTAACTCATATTTTTCTCACTTTTTTGTCGGCAGAATGAGGTATATATCAAAGGTTTTGGCATCAAATTGCTGGGCGCCACTCTGTCTAGGACGATGTTTAACACTCGTCACTTCCAAGCATCCTGAGCCTACTGGTAAACATGCGTCCATTGTATGGTATATCCTAAGACCTCCGATTAAGCTCGCCGACTGGGAATAATGCTTGTCACGTTTATCGGCCAATGAAACCCATACCGCCAATAGATAAGTCGATTAATTATACTAATTACACGCTGCAGGGACCACACTCGGGCGTGATTGATGATTTTGGTCAGTTCTCAAAGTGTGTGCCACTGCAGTCACTTGTCATATCTTACTCCCGTTTTCTCCTAATGAACATGGACGTCCAAATGGATTTGGATCAACACGCCATTTCCTTAGAATTTGTTCTTTTTAATCGGCATCCTCTCACAGAAATGCAAGTCACCATGGTTTCCACCGACATCCCCTTCATCGAGATTCCGTCACTGGATGCAGCGGTGCCAGATGAATCAATGGACTGGTCATCTAGCGAATATGACAACAGTTTTTACGAATTTGACGACGACGGTCAGTGGTTTGAATCAGAAGTGTCGTCGACATGTTTACAAGACATAGCGATTGACGACAGTCTACAACCCTTTCTGTCAGAGTCGGAATCAGAAGAAGACGGTTCATATTGTAAGTTGCTGAAAAACAGTGCGTTTTATCACAGTCCCTATATTGATAGAGGGACTGTGGTTTTATATTCATTCTCGGATGTCAGTAGAAATCTAATCTCGATAAGATGTATTGTATCAATATCTAGCCCTATTGAGGGTTTAATGTACACGTTCGTTATTTTATTATGTATAGACCTACCACCAGGAACCTACAAACCATGGCTATACTTCAAAAAAAGCACGCAGCCAATATGATACTGAGCATATCGTCCAGAGCACCCCCCCCCCATTGTGTCCTCACACCAAACGTTATATTTAATATTGTATTTTGTTTTCCAGGTTACAATACTTTCCTCGGCGAAGATATGGAACAAACAACGATTCCGTATGATGTTAATATCGACGATGACGACGCGTTTCATATGACCGGTAGGCTACGTTCTAACTTTGCCGTCCTTCAGACTGTGGTACACCGTGTGGAGAGCTCAATCAGACCCGGTCCCTGGTCGTGTCGCGGTCTACATCACGCTGTCTCCTCTGCACAGCAAGGGGTTTTACAAGAGACGTACGAGACGTCTCCCTATCCCAATATCCAGACTAGACGACAGTTAGCCTCAGATCTTGGTCTCCGCTTTCATACTGTGAATGTAAGTAGCGTGTCATTACTTTATATCAATACGGATGTTCGGAAAGCTAATACAAGTCTTTTGTGTCAAATAATTTCACGCACGATTTTCTAATCTCATAGTCCGAATTTTAATAGTCATCAGGGGTGATTTGTTGACTACCCCGTGACTGCCGCTATCGATCAAGTCTAAATTCGAACTTTAGTACAAATTAGGTGTATGCAGTTTGTCATTCTCCGAAAATAGCATGCTGTATTCTCGTGTTGCCAGGCTGGATCGAGTGTCAGTTTCAGGGAGATTTTCCGATGAATTTCGATACCTGCCCGCGACATCGTCAAAATGACCTACTGCATGTACGTATGGTTTCTTTTTTTCTGTGACACCGTACGAACACTTGTTTTTCTTGTCAGACCAGGCGCACCACAACGTGGCTTACAGAATGTTTGTAATAATCCCATTCTTTTCCTCTTTTATCCACAGACGTGGTTTTCAGATCGACGCTCATTGAGACAACGAACACGAATCGGTTTACTCAGAAAAAGCGATCCGCGTCCAGCTTCTATTAATGAGTTCGGTGTTCCAAAAAGAGCCGACTGATTTTTATATACATTTCAACCATGCGATGACAACATTCTTATTTAACATTTTCGTTTATTTAAAATTTAAATTATGTATATAGTGTCAACAGATAGTATTAAAATGTTATATATATATATATACGTTGTAAACTGTATGCATATTTATGATCTATGCTTCTATTTCCATGTATGTAGGTGTGCCAATGAAGCCGTGTCAAAGAGTACACAAAACGCACGTGAATATGATAGAAAACGAATACCAGTAAACAATGATGGAATATAGATTTATCTGTCCTCAAAAGTACAACTCTAGGCTAAAATATTTCCTTAGAACATAATTGTAGATCGTTTTATTATCAGACGCCATGCACACTAGACCCGGGTCAACGGCGTTAAGATGGTGGGCGATATTTGCGATCGGTTGTTTGGCGACAAGGTAAGCGGTCGGACGACCGCATGTAAATATCGCCGACTCTTACAACGCCTTTGATTCAGGGATATATTTATACATACAGGTAACATTATTTTCTATGGCTTCATGTACATATACATTTACGTTCTGCATCGCCAAACCTCTGTAACCGTGCGCAAAATTGAATATTTGCGGGCAGCAACAAATGTAGAAATATTTTAATATTGTTCTTTGAAGCTCGGGAAACAAATTACACACAACCCGTATTTGAAGTTACCCCTTCCCCGGTCTTTTTGGAAAAAAGAATGGTTTCTGGACAGTCGTCACTGTGCCCAGAGATTCGTATCGAAAATAAAACACATCAAATGCGATGTGATGGGGTGAATGCGAAAAATGTTTTGTTCTAGAGTCGTTCCACCATTTTTCACAATAACAAGACCATTTGAAAGTAACTTATGAAAGCGGTGATCACTGTTTCTGCCGTCAGACACCATCGGCGAGGGCAGTATACACAAGACACCGGAACAGTTCATTTTACGTGTTGAGGTATTAAGACGCAAATATGTACCACATGCAGTGTACACGCTTGAGCTCGGGGAGTTTTTGGCATTTGATTTTTTTTTTACACAAAGCACAGGCAAAGGTGACACCGAGAGAACGTTCAAACAAGAAAATGATCAAACGTCTTGTAAAAGTATTAATATGTAGATTTATAATGCTGTAACATGAATACCCATAAAAATTGCCCAATTTTGGACGTTTTCAGACATTTGTACTGCGCCAAAAGAAAAGAACACACACTAATTGATGACTCATAATTATTCGTAAATTTTGAAATTATATGGTTACTGCGCCCTCAACGGCCAAAATAAGACGTGGGCATGGGGAGAAGACCCAGCTTATACCTGTACTATTGATGTCCATTTCACAGTTGCTGCGATTGGTCAAGATTATCAATCACCGATTTTCATTTTCTAAAAGCTTAGAAATACATTTCTTAATATTCGTAATACAATGTCATATTTTAGCCATTCTAATCACAATTTTTTTATATCCAAACAATGAGGCGTGTTAATAAACTTGTTTTTGAACAGAATTTAATTTCTTTTTATTCAGCATAGATGGACATAGTAACTGTCTGTGAACTGAGCTATGGTTGCTGTGATCTCAGATATATGCAGACAAATTTCTATACAGACAATAGATAAACCTTGTTTTACAGAAGAAAGACGTATCGAACACAGCAATATTATTTGACATAATTATTTATTTATTTATTTATTTGAAATCTCTGTAACTTCTTTTCTCATAGACTTTGAGTTTGTATCTTCTCTTTTTCCTGTGAAGTGGAAACAATATCAAATCAAATATGAGGCAGAAACAATATCATCACTTTTTATACCCCAAAACACCTATTATTCACAAGGCAACAAATAGTATGAGGTTATTATGAGGATACCGAAAAATATACACGAAGACAGTACAACGAGAGTATCAACCGATGTGCAGTGAAGGTCGATGCGTCGTCATACTGTCTGAGTGCATACTTTATGGTATCCTCGTAATAACCTTATTATTATACATCTTTTCCTTCTAAGGATACATCATGGGAATGCCGAAATCCAAAAAGTTTGTGTCTGGTCAAATCCAAGGGGCTGCCACATTTGTTTTTATTAATAGAGGACGCTCATGCGCGTAATAGCTCCATATTTGGAATTCCCATTCCCATTCCCTAGTGCAATACCGCAAAATTAAGGCACGCTGTAGCTTATGGCGTTATGGTGACAAATGTATAATAATAACTAATATTATCATACATCTGGCTATGAAAACAGAATTTAGTCGTCTGTAAAACAATCTCATCATATACAATCCTACTGATATCGATAATGTTCTGTATTTGCTAAAACAGTATTATTATCACATGCAGATTTTTACTTACTTCACAGGAACTCTAGGTTCTAAGATATTCCTACTCTGCAAACTCTTATATCTATCATGGATTATACTGCCCTCAGGCTGTTGAAATAAGAGAATGCAACAAATAGTGAAATGGAGAGCATAGAAGCTAAATAGGTCAGCTGTTTTAGTTAGTTACTCAGCGACAACAATAGCTGCCTCTCACACATCCTAGTATGTGTTTTTATGTGAAAAAAAAACAGAGGTTTTTAGTAACCGTGGAAATGAAGTTACAAAAATAAATATTTCCATGATGTTAACACCACACAATAATGTACTAACCTTCAACAATCTAAGATTACCTGTGAGTTCCTCACTCACTTGGTAATTCAGTTTGGGTGGTATGTATCTAACAACAGATGTTAAGAAATCACTATATTTCTGTCTTGAACAACTAAGTATCAATTAAAATATTTCAAACTGAAAGAACACACGACTGCAATCAGGTGATTGATTTTGTTTAGTTAGCACTGTTTAGTCCACCATTTAGCCTTCTTTGTCATATGATGTACATGCATGTGTGAATTTTGAATGTGATTGTGGTTCTGAAACACAATATATAAAAACAAAATGGCCATGAGTTGGTTATTTTGAATCAAAATTGCAAAATAAAATGATGCGCATTCAGACCAATATGTATGATGTATGTGTGAAGTTTGAGTGCAAGAGTAGGATACAGGTGTGGAATGACTAACTGACATGTGCAAAAATGTGAAATTATAAATCCCTGTTTTCTGACAGAAACTAAAAATGTTATGACAACTTCTTCTTCATAACAATAACCAAGCAATCATGTCTGAATGAATTGAGCTACTGGAAATAGTTTTCCAAATTTAAAAACAATCTCATCAACAAAACATTTTAACAAAAAATTGTTTTCATAATGTTTTAAGTTTAAAATAATGTTTGACAATATGAACCATGTTACGATCATTTGGATGCACTTTATTTCACATATTGCTCTCATTGGGAAAGTGAAATATGAAACTCTGGTGGAATTATAAACATTACAAATCAAGGATACTTATGACGTCCGAGTTTCTTTACTTTTGTTGAATCATTTCTTTTTATCAATCTTGTTTCCTTCTTCTTTTCTGTTACTTTCTCTTTCTGAGCGATTTCTGCTTTTAGGCGCCTCAATCGATACACATCTTGCATTTTACTCTTCTCTTTCCTCTTAGCAACAAGGAGTTTCTCCTAAAATAGACAGAAGAAAGAATGATCTCATCACAACATTTTTAAATAAAAATTAAGGCGCGTTAACTAAAACCAAACAGTGATGGAGTCAATGTGGTGTCTTAGTAAAGTAGGAATATTGAGATTGTATCATTTCATGAAAAATTACGAAAACCATCACCCAAAACTATCATTTTAGAATAATAACAAAACAGGTATATTGAGTATTGGATCATTTCAAGTGTAAGAACTTTACCATACCTGTAATTTTCTTTCCTTTTCCTTCCTTCTTTGCTTTGGCGTTTTCTTCTGATCAGCTCTGACTGGTGCGTTTGGAGGTAGAACTTCAGTATCTTTCGCCTCATCATTGTGGTCCTCCTCTTCCACCTCCTCCTCCTCGTCTCCCTCATCAAACAGACCAGCTGACATTTCTACCAGCCAATCATTCTAGTCATAATATTAAATAACAAATATGATTGGTTCCAGCTCAGTGGTTGATACCACCATAAGCCTCTCAGTATCAAATCAATATACCAAACAATATTTTTTTGGTTTAGAGATTTTATTCATGTACCTTGTGCTGTCTCACAGTCACAAAGTGAGAAGTCATTTGGCACATTTTAACATCTTATTAAATTTTATCAACATTTCCATTTCATTTTCCTATATTACTCACATGTACTTCCTGCGGTAACACTTTAGTAAAACCACGACTTTTTCTTTCATCTTTCTTGGATTTCTCAATCAGCTCCAGTTCCTGGTCCAGAGCTGCTCGAAGTAATTTCTGGATGATAAAAATAACAATTCCATAACATCTGAATAGACATAGCAGCTTGATAATACTAACCGGTTCTACTAACACCTGGCCATGCCCGGAGAGGAACTGCAAGTTTATAAGGCTGACGAGACTCTTGTAGTATTTATCAGCGAGAGGAATTTACAAAGTTCCCTCATTACCCATGTAACTATTTAAATTTTGTACAATTCATAAGAAATCTTATTAAACAGATTAATGAAATACTGTAGAATACTTTATTTTCGCATGGAAATTATTTTCGCTATTTTCGCTGAAGGAATAAAATCCAGCGAATATACTTTTTTTCCTATATTTCACATTAAACTCATCAAAAATAAGTGAAAATAAATTCCATACAAAATGCCCAAAAATCCTTTTCAGCGAAAATTAATTCCAGCGACAATAAAGTAATCCACAGTACTACTTTAATCTAAAATAAAGTAAAGTGGCCCTGAATGAATACAGCAATGTATGTCTGATTTGGTGCTTATACTCATATGACATTCATTGCAGACTAGTTCCAACATTTCAGGATGTGTTACCATAGCAACCCTACATAGTGATCACAATAATTAATGGGAGGAGTTGTGCATCTAATACAAAGGACAATCTAAATAAAAGAATACCTCGCCTTCATGAGAAGCTGTAAAGAACAAAATCCCAAATCAGTGCATGTATGGATACACAAACATTTTAATAAACTTACCTGATGGTCATCGTAAGACGGATTATATGATCCACCAGGTTGAATCACATCAACAGCGGGTAATGATGAACGCTTTCTATGATAGTCAGCAGGAATCTGCCGAAATTAAAATATTAAATCGAATAATCAATCTATAGTGACAAACAGGTATGCTAAGGGAGGGTGGAGATATGCTCATTAATGCAGAACAGAAACTAGCACATGTACTATTAAGTCGATACATGTATATAACTTAGAACAAAATCGGTTAAGGCATGTCCAAGAAATGGTTAATTAA